GGCGTGAGGTATGGGTCCTGTTTCATTTCTTTGCAGATGGATGTCCAGTTTTGCCAGCACCATTTGTTAAAAAGACTGTCTTTTCGCCATTTGATGGACTTTGGGCCCTTGTCGAAGATCAGGTGACCGTAGGTGGATGAATACAATGTGTTTTTGAAGTTTGAAATCATTTTAAGATTTCTACATTTCTGTTAAAGGACGTCAAAATCCTGGTGTCCTAGAACAGAAAGGGGCATTAGAATTAATCTAAACCAATGCTTTCACTTTAGGGATGAGGTAGATGGGGATGCTAAATGCAGATTAATGGCTACCATCTGGTGAGAGAGTTAGGGGAATGTGGTTAGGAAATGTTTTGGAGAGGGTTTTAAGTATATCTGTAATTTTTTTTTTTTTTAAATTGTGCTTTAAGTGAAAGTTTACAATTCAAGTTAGTCTTTCATACAAACATTTATATGTACATTGTTATGTGACCCTAGTTGCTCTCCCTATACTATGACAGCACACTCCTCCTTTCCACCCCAGATTTCCCGTGTCCATTCAACCAGCTCCTGACCGTCTCTGCGTTCTCATCTCGCCTCCAGACAGAAGCTGCCCATTTAGTCTCACATATCTACTTGAGTCAAGAAGCACACTCTTCACAAGTATCATTTTATGTCCCATAGTCCGGTCTAACTAATCTTTGTCTGAAGAGTTGGCCTCAGGAATGGTTTTAGTTCTGGGTTAATAGAGAATGTGAGGGCCATGTTTTCTGGGATTCCTCCAGTCTCGGTCAGACCATCAAGTCTGGTCTTTTTAGTAGAATTTGAGTTCTGCACCCCAGTTTTCTCCTCCATCGGGACTCTGTCATGTTCCTTGTCAAGACTGTCATTGGTGGTAGCCAGGCACCATCTAGTTCTTCTGGTCTCAGGCTGATAGAGTCTCTGGTTTATGTGGCCCTGTAATGTTTTCTTTAAAAAGAAAAAGAATTAGAGACAAATACGGCAACAAAAAAAATGTTAACATTTGAAAAAGCTAGTAGTGGATACTACATGATCATTGTCTTCCCTATTTCTTCATTTGAATATTGCATAATTCTTGCAAAAAATTAAAACCTAAG